GAAGACCCAACACAGCCAAAAAAAAAAAAAAAAAAAAAGTAAATTAATTAATTAATTTTTTAAAAACTTAAAAAAAAAAAACCCCTCAAATGATAAAGACTGCCTTTTGCTTTCAAAGCTACTGTCAGATGAAACAGGCATTAAAAGTGATTTGAAATTAAAGCGTTTGACATTTTTCCAGGCGATCCTCTTTAGTTTACTTTGAATTTGAAAAAGAATGAACTATTAGAGGAAAGGAAACTTGTCTGCATTTTTCTCCCGCCAAACTGAGAGGTACTTTCTAAAATGACCTGCTTTGAGCAGCAGCAGGAAATCCAGCCTCTCAGCTTCGTGAATGTAGCTCTCGTTCGCAGCTCTGGCAGTGCTTTCGACTATGGTCACACATATAGATTCAGCCGTCCCGTCTCTTCTTTGGGATTGGTTCAGGAATGGACTCTCCACCTCCGGGAGCAGTCCTTCATGGTGGCTGGTAGGTCTGCGTGACTCCTGCCAACTTGTCCACCTCTCAGGACCCTTGGGCTCCGTCTGAGAGCCGATGCAGCCACCCAGGAGCAACTGAGTCTCGGGCATCCCGAGAAAGAGCTGTGTGCCTCACCTCTTCTGCAGGATGGGCCCCGGGAGGTGAGGTGAGGTGTGACAGCGCGGGGCACAGGGCCTAGGTACGGCTGCCTGCCCGCCGGGTGGAGGTGCTCTCGGTCCCATCCTCATTCAGCAGACCAGTCCTGACCGCGCGGCCACCCAAGGGGTGCTTCCGTGCGCTGGCGTCGTGCCCAGTGCGTACGTGCATCATCCCCTTCATCTCAGGGAGGTCCCGCGTGAGATCTCCCTCCTCCTGGTGATGGAACGGATCAGAGAAGCCCGGGAATGTTCTTAAGGCCTCAGCCGATAAGGGGCCGTCGGGTTCCTGCCCCGTCTGTTCATGGTAGAGTCCCGTGCAGGCCCTGTGAGGAGGTGGCAGGGAGCTGGGGTCCAGTGCCCTCGAGGCCCTCGCCGAGCAGAACGGGGAGGGGACGTGTGCGCCGAGCCATTCACGCTCGCAGGGGTCTGGGCAGCTGCGGCTCTCACAGCAGCAGGCCGACGTGGCCGTGATGGGGGCGGGCCGTGTGGAGGCCAGGAAACCTAGTGAGGCGGGAACAGCTGATTTCACTTCCTCACGTCTTTAAAGGCAGTTGGGCAGAAATTCAGTTTAGGCGGGAAGAGGCACCTTGGCAAGAGGGTGAAAGCCTGGGGTCTGGCCGGCACGCAGGCAGGCGGGGTCCGGTCGGAGGGTTCGGAGGGCTGTTTGGGGTCGGGGGCGAGATGGCAGAAGGTACCTGGCGTTCAGCAGCGCTCAGGAGACCCCAGGTGGCGTGCAGGTGGTGGTGGGGCCAGAGGTCTCGCGGGGTTCTGGTTGGCACCTTGTAAGCGTGTCCTTCGGGGAGAGCTAATAGTTGTGTGCCTCTCTGTTAGCGGGCTGTCCTGGACCGCCAGGCCAGCCTCTCTGCGCTTTGCTTTTCGTGGCCGACCTCGGACAGCTCCAGGGGCGCCACTGGTCACTGATATGAATGGGTGTGTCAGTACCTTTGGACAGGAGTTTAATTACAGCCCAGGGCACCTTGCCTTTCTTTTGTGGCCGCCCCAGCACTGGTTTTGGCGCTTGAACGCTGATCCTGTTTCCTTGGAGGTGTGCTGAGGACACGCGAGTATTCAGGGTTTGTGAGCGGCTCTAGGTGTGTCCCTGTCAGTGTTCTCCATGCAGAGCTCCCCTGACAGTGCCATGCAGCCGCCTGTGCCCTAGTGGGTCCCAAGAGCATCCTGGCGTCTTCGGGACCCAGCACCTCACTCCATAGCCCTGGCGTTTGCAGAGCCAGGGGCGCTGTGGGCCAGGGTGGACGGGAGGCTGCGTCTCCTTGTGGCTCAGAACCTTGTGGACGACCTCGAAGGACAGGGGAGCAGGGAAGCTTGTGCGGGGACACGTGCGGCTGTGATGCCTGCATTTCTCTGCCTTGGTGGCGAGTGGGGGATGGAGTGGAGCGGGGGCTCCTGGGGTCCAGTTCTCACCTGTGCGCACTGCGTGGTGGAGATGGTGAGAGTGGTGAAGCTGGCTGAGCCTTTGTCGGTACCCAGTTCCATCTCACCTGAATGCTACGAGATGGTGCTGCTGTCCTCTGTTTCACAGCAGAGTCGAGCCCTGTGTTGAACAGCTAGGAAGCCATAGAAACAGGATTTGAATCCTGGTCCGTGCGTCCTAGGAGCTCCACACGGTTTATTTGGGGCTGGAGCCCCAGTCCCTGAGAGGTCCCTGAGAGGTACTACATGTGGCTGCAGAGAACCCTTGGTCATGCGTTTCTCTGCTCCATTGGAGGCGTGCGTCACGGGCCGGCTGGTGTGAGCCTCAGGCCGCATCCTTGATGCGGATTTAGAACGTGCTGTAGACGTGAGCGAGGAGAAGCCGTGCAGACTTCGTGGTCCTGCCTGCCGCGCTCCGTGCGCTCCTGCCGAGCCCGGCTCTTCGCGGCTGATGATCCCTCTGTACACTCAGCTTCAAAGGCTGCTTGATCACCCCCGAAGCACACCAGCTCTGGGCTGCTCTAATGACTGAAGTTTTTTGTTTGTTTGTTTTACAAATTTGCTTATTTATTTTTGGCTGCGTTAGGTCTTTGTTGCTGCGCGCGGGCTTTCTCTAGTTGCGGTGAGCGGGGGCTACTCTTTGTTGCGGTGCGCGGGCTTCTCATTGCAGTGGCTTCTTTTGTTGTGGAGCACGGGCTCTAGGCGTGCAGGCTTCAGTAGTTGTGGCTCACAGGCTCAGTAGTTGTGGCTCACGGGCTCTAGAGCGCAGGCTCAGCAGTTGTGGCGCTCGGGCTTAGTTGCTCCGCGGCATGTG